AAGGGTAGAAAGTAACTTAAGGTGTTCTCCAGCTCGCCGGTTCCTTTAGCAGCCTTTAAAATAGACAACGGTGCCTTGCCAGTGTAGAATGAAGTGACCATGTACTGTTACTTTGCTTCACTTGCCACCTACTTGCTTGTTGTCAGTGCACCCGCCTTTTACAGGAAAAAAAAACCAAAACCGAAACAAACCTTAGGGTACTTATTTCTGAAAGACATCCCTGAACTGGAATTCTCTGTCTGATGGATTTGGATTATTGTTGATATTTCTGCTTTTGGTATTTTTCTTTGGTTGTTTTGGAGCATTGCAGTTCCTTTCTTTTTGCGTTTAGTTCTGAATGAGATGTGAGAATGAAACTTGAAGAGAGCTCCTTGATCACTGGTGGAAAATCCCTGTCTTCTGAGTTCTAAGGGTGAAATGCAAAATGCAACTGTTGTGACCAAGAGTGAGGATTGAAAAACCGTCTTAGAAAGAAAGAGAAGAAAAAAAGGCAGTTTTTTCCTTTTTTTTTTTTTTTTTTTCTTTTTAAGCATTTAAGTTATTGAAGTAACAGTTGTGTTTAAGCAGGGATCTGGACAGTGCAGTTTTTTCTTCCACAATGTTTTAAGGAGCAATCTTAAGTCTAGTATGATCTGTACTTGCAAGATTTTCTGATGCTGTTTTCAGAAAGGAAGAAAACTTTTTTTTTATTAGAGCTGAAACTCTGATAGTGTGTAATTCACCTTTATGTGGTTGGGCTTTGAGAGCACAGAGAATTGCCAGTGATTTGAGCCCCGAGTTTCACTGAGTTCTGATACAGTTACGGTGTCATGAATCAAGAAACAACATCCATTTAGTGAGAGACAATCATTTTTGCTGAAGGTGCAGCTGAGCCTTCCCCAGCACTGTCACAGCAACCTACGAGTTATGCGGATGTTCTTGATCTGAATGCAACTTAGGAGTCCAGCGCCTAGACAGAAGAATAGGCCAGTGTGACTTCCTCTGTAGCGTTGAAAAACATTTTATTTTGGTTTTTGGTGTATGGTGAATAGAGTTGCCGGCTAGAAGAAAAAGGGAGACCAGGACTGCGGCACTGGTTTCCTTTTATGTGGCTACAGGGTGATTTTTACCCCCATTACATAGGTTAGACTGACTGAAGTGAACAGCCCCGAGGAGGCAGGGTGTGGTGAGTGATCTCTTGGGTATGCTCAGCTGACTGGATTTATTTTGGACTAGACAGGGCAAGGGTTTGGACAGTGTGCTGTAAGGAGCAGTGTTGCTGGGGATGATGAAGCCTAGCCAGATCCTTGCCATCAGTTCCTGGTCCTGTTGCTGCGGAATTTTTGCTGGTGATTTTGACAGGAACAGGACAGTTCTCCACATCCTTGCTGTAGGCCTTAGCTATTAGAAAAGCATGGGGATTGTGCTGTCTGACTGATGGCTTTGGCTGCCCTTTCTTGTTGAGCTGGATGTCCTGTTTCTCTGTCTTTGTGTATACTCTGTCTTAGGAGGAAGAATAGGGTACTAATACCAGGCTGTAGCAAGCAGCTTGGCTGAGAGGTAAGCTTGATTCTTTCTTTGCCCTTTGAAACCTCATGACGGGAGCTCTGTTACATGTGGCCAACTCCTCTCCTTATCAGCAGCGTGCTGCTCTTCCGTGATAGTGGTGGCTTCTAGGGAAAAAGAATAGAGCCTGTTTGTTCTTTTTGTAAGGAAGATGTTTTTCCCATGTAATTCTCTTGTAGCCTTGTACTTGAGATCTTTTCAGTGTGACAGGCAGATCGAATTCTTTGGCCCAGAAGAGATATTAGGAGGTTGTGATGGTTTGCAGTTGATAATGTTATTCTGCCCATGCTCTGTGAGGTTTTTCTCTACCCTTTCCCAGCTTTTTTAAAAATTAGGTAGAATTTTTCTGTGTTGGCAAACGTGAACATACGTGTCCCTGCTGCTACTGAGATGCAGTGGTGTTTTGGAGGAAGAGAATGGAGCAAAATTATTAACAGAAAATCATTCTCAGCAGTGTCAATTCAAAGAAGTGAGAAGCTGGAGGGAAGAGAGGACCCTTCTAGAGATAAGTCTGGAATGTGAAGGTTGTTTACTGGAACCTCTACTAGTACTAGGATTTTTTGGCACAGATTTTACCATCTCAGCACAAAGTTGATCTTTCCAGGTCTGCCTGTGTTTATTTAATGTGATGTCTCTTGTGCAGCACAGCATACGGCAGTCGCAAAAGAAGAATCCTAGCTCAGCCAGTATCTGTCAGTGTGGATGAATGAAAGCGAGGGTTTGTTAGCTGAGGGTGGGATGATCCCCTTACCCCTCAGGAGACCTGGGAAGAGTCTCAGCCTCTGAAGAGAAAGAAAAGTCTGTGGCTGACAGTCTTGAGCAGTTTGTGAGGAAGGTGCTACTGAACTCTAAAAGCTCAACAGATGACACAGGGCTGTGCTGATTCTTTCCAACTTGTGAGTCACTCAGAACCTCACAGGGAAAATACCTTCTGACTCCTGTCATGGAGGCTGTCAGTTTTTGCCATGCCAGCCAGGGCTAAAGTCAAACAGGGAGAATTTTTTTGAGATAAATCCTGGGTTAACTATAGCACACAGAGTGCTAGAGTGCGGTCTCTGGCAATGTGCATTTTTAAGATGGCAGCTGATAAAGGTTTTTTTTTTTTTTGAATCTGTGTGTCGTCTGTGACCACTTCTTTGGGAAACGCCAGGAGACATGATAGTACCTTGTGTTTCTGTTCAGCTTGTAGCTAGTTAAGTGCCTCAATGGTGAGGGTTGCTGTTTTAGGGTGAGAAGAGGAGAGGATTTGCATAAGGTGATATGTTGAATTAGCAGCAGGCTTAGTAAGGTAAATCAGGTCAAAATGCTAGTATATACTAAATCCTGATCTAAAGTACTGTGTGCCATAGTCCACTTAAGCTTCCAAGGTGATTGTAGAACCAACAGAGGGATAAACTGCTGCTGGTGTGGTTTCTGCCAAAGCCACCGATACAGGCATGAAGCATGTGGAGTTTATGGATGGCAGAGCAGAGTTTCACTTTAACTTCTGGAGGGACAGTTAATATCGCAGCAGTGTAGGGCCTGGGAGATGAACAGGTGGTGGAAAAGATGTGATTGTTCTCTTGGGGAAGGCAGTAAAAAAAAGTTTCTTCAGGGGAATGGAAAGTCCTATCTTCTTGTCTTTCTGAGAGGCAGGAGAGATGTAAGGTAGGGCAAGCAAAAGGACTGAGGGCTGTGACTCTTCTGATTCTGACCATAGTTCTCTGCTGTGTAGGAGCTTGACCTTAGGAAACCCATTAGATAGGACTGCGTCTGGTTCTGGATTGTTGTAAACTGCTGGTGATGGTGCCAATCTGTGTCTGAGAAGGGCAATGCAGTTGAGGCTGGTGGAGGTAAAGAAGCTGGAGAATTTTATGCTAACAGGGTTTTAGACACTGTCTTTTCACAGCCTTATGGTTGTGCTTAAAATCAGAATGGTTCCGGTGTCTTACAGACGGTTAGAAGAAAAACGCTGGGTCTTGGCTTTTGTCAGTGTTGGTTTTGGAAGATGAAGAGTCTGTACCAGTCCTTTTAGGTAAAAGTATGTGAGCCTCTTCCTGATTTCAGACTGCAGGGTTGGTAACAGCAACAGGTTTCAGGTAGGGACCTTCATTTTTTTCTTCGCAATAGTTGAAATCAAATCATTGACCGTCATTTCTTGATCTTAGGAGCTAGAACGATAATGTTCTGGTACAGCAGGGTTTCTGCCTCTATCGGATGATGCCATGTATTGCTGCTGAGTCTTGATTTCCTCTATGAATCTACCAAACCTCAAAAAAATCACAAAATTTAATCCAACACAGTATTACACTTTTTGAAGATGCTTGTTACTCTAATAGAAGATAGTGGTTTTGTACTGTCCACCCTAATGGCTGCATGCGGAGTAAGGGCAGGTGGCACTTTGTTGTGTAATACAGTCTTTCAGATGATGATAATTTGCTGTAACAAGCAGGAAGCAGTTGTGCATGGGCCTAATGGCAGGGATGTGGTTTTTAGCTCTGACTCACAACTGATTTAATGTTTCTTTTTGTCTGTGCTGCAATTGTCTTGCGCTGTGTTTGACCTGGACCGGAAGGAAGATTACAGTCCATGATGTCTGTGATGAGATTCTCCATGTCTGACAACATCACACATTCGACTGCCCTGGTGACAGCACTGGGTAATGTGACAACTTTGTCCCCGACAACAACACAGGCAATCAATGACACCAACATCACTGTGCCACACAAGTGCCTGTTGTTGCTCTATGAGGACATTGGGAATTCCAGGTGAGATGGGGGAAATGGGACCATGGTCTGACCAGGCCCAGGGGAAAGAGCTTTCCCAGAGTTCATTTGAGAAGGGGCTGGGGCTGCTGCCTTCCCTTCTAGATGCTGCAGAACAGGAAAAAAAAACTGTTTTATTTACTTTTTGCAGAGTCCGCTACTGGGATCTTCTGCTCCTGGTTCCCAATGTGCTTTTTTTTATGTTTCTTCTCTGGAAGCTGCCCTCTGCCAGGGCCAAAATCCGGGTCACTTCCAGCCCAATCTTCACTACATTCTACATACTAGTGAGTACCACTCTGTGCTTTTGAACTGATGAGTGAGTGGTTTTTAATTGCCACTCATGAACAATATCACTGAATTAGTGGAGAGAGGGCCTAGACCAGATCTTGCAGGGATAAAATCTATTTTTAGTTGAAGGTGTACTACAAGAAGTAGATGCAGGTTTTTGTTTTTTTTTTTTTTCCTTCGCTGTCTGAATTCTACTTTTCACAGATTCTGGGACTGTATCTGCTGGATTTGAGAGGATTTTGTTCTCCTGTGGTGATTTTTTTTTTTTTCTTTTTTCTTCTGTTGTTACTTTGTTATCTTGGAATCTAGTTATCTTGTACTTTCCTTACTCCTTGCAGTAAGTAGCATGTGACACAGAGCCAGCTTTTTGCTGACATTGTGAAAGTGAAACATTGAAGAATAATTTGTGTGAAGCTCTTGAAAAACTTGGTCATCTGCTGTAGAAAATAGTGATGTGACAGGGTTCTGGTTAGTCTGGGAATGTAGAAAGCCAGCCCCATTAGTTTCTTTCCCATCATATCAAAGTGGCTGCTGACTTGATGATGTTCTTGATACTTCTTAAGGTGGAAACAGAATATATAGGCAGTACAGTTACAGTTCTTAAACATCTAAGATCTTGTCTGTTCTCTTCTCCTCAGTTTAAAAAGGCACAGGCAGCTTTTGTTCACATTAAGGTAGTCTCTTTAGTAATATCTTAACATCATACCTATTAACTGTGATACTGTTCACAGGGCATTGTAAATGCAGCTAAGGACCTACCTGAATTTGTTTAAAAATATCATTCAGAAGCTTTATTGTAGGTGCTTTTTGAGATCCTGGCTTGCCTCAGTGCATAGCATGATGTGCTTACTCTTCATCAGTGAGATAGTACAGGTTGTAGAAGCAAATGCGTGTTTGAATTGGATTAGATGGTAGACATCCTTCTTTGGGCTGTGTATGGGTCCTGGCATGACAAAACCCAAGAAGCATCAAAACAAAATCTGAGCTAGTAGCCTCAGCTGAATCTTTGGTGGGAAGTCTTGTTAGGTCTTTCAGCCTGGAGTGTGGGTACTGGGCTTGCACACAGTTTTGGATAACCAGGTATAAACACAAACGCTCCTAACTTTTAAAAATATTACCAGCTGTTTCCAGCCTGGATTTAAATCTTCCTTTATGCTTCCAGTAATGCACATGGCTCAGTAGGAAGTTCATGCCAAAGGCTTTGAAAAACAAAACTGATAAACCAAAGAGAAGAAAAAAAATGAATTGCCTTTATGCTGTTGACTTTTTCAAAACAGAGCAAGAAGCAGAAAGTGATGAAACAGCCTTAGAGGAAAATGCTTTCATTCCGTTTGATCTTCTGGATTATGTTATTGGGAAATGAGGATGGAAGTGTGTTCTGTGAGAATTTCCTTTCAAACGGCTGCTTGTCATGTCTGGAAGGAATGCTTTCTTGTGGAGTCAGTGGTTAAAGTGAAGTTAATAGATCGGGAAGAGTCTCTACCTACTTAGGAAGCAAAAAGAGTGTGTTTTCCTCTCCAATGAGTTGTTGCTGCTCTAGAACACCATTATATTTCGGGACCCTTCTTTTTTGTCAGTGTTTTGTCCCAGAGTTTTCCACCCCAGGAGGGAGTGTATTATTCTTCTTTAATGAAATTTGCATCCTTTCTTCCTCTAAGGAGAAAATATTCAGGTGTAGGTGGCTTATTGGTCATTTCCATTCTTCAGCCACCTTAGCATCAGCTTGGACTCTTTTCATTCTCTGATAGATTTAGCTGTCTCATACCTGCATCATTAGAATTAGCTTGTGACTTGGAGAATTTTATCTGGAAAAATCTACTTTCTTAAAGGGTAAATCTGCACAGCAGAGGGTAGATATATCCAGCTGAGTTCTTAATTGCGTAATATGGCTGTGACAGCACAGGAGTTAGTAAGTGAGCCTTGCTGAGCTCCGTGCTGTCACGCTTAAATGGTGCATGAGCTGATTTGGGTATCTCTTATGTTGCATTGTGCAGCAGGGTAGGATGTTTTAAAACTGTTGGCTGCAGGTGACTTTTTCCCTCTGTGTTCCTGAGCACTGTCAGTGTTGAGTGAGAGAACTGCAGATTTTAGTTTTATCATAGATCTGGAGTGTGGTAGTTGGTATTGAGTGGCTTCTGTAATCTGATGTGGTTGGTTTATTCAGTCATACCAAGCACATGATCTTGTGATTTGGAGGGATGTGGTTTTTTGTCTGCATTTTCTCCTCCTCTGCCCCAGTGGACTGAAGGGTAGGAAAACTGTTTGCCTGTAAAGATACTGTTGTAAGGAGTGGATGAGACCTCTTCGGAGGTGTTTAATCTGGCAGTTGGGGAAATTTGTTCCTTCCTGAATTCTAAGCCAGTACTCCTACATCTAACAGGCCTGAGGAATCTTCTTTGGCAAATTAACTCTAATCTGCTACAGGAAGTCCTCAGTACACATGATCAGGCTTGAAAGCTGACCTGGAAATGGTATTCCAAAAGGGTTTCTGGTCACTACTGCATATGTGCCTTTTGACATGAACTCACTTCTGGTATCTTTTTGTGTAGGTATTTGTGGTGGCTTTAGTTGGTATTGCCCGTGCTGTTGTCTCCATGACTGTGAGTGCCTCTGATGCTGCCACAGTTGCTGATAAGGTAGGTACAACACTAATTTTTAGAGGCTCTGCTTTGTGCAGTTTTGATCACAGCAATCTGCTATTGCTTCTCTTTTATGTGCATGTGAGAAGAATGTGGGTTTTTGCAGTACTCATAGCTGTGTGTACTATGGAATCCTGTTCTGATAGCTGTATCTAAGATCACAACATCCAGGACTGTAAAACAATAGATTTCCTAAAATAGATGCACAAATAATGGCAGCAAAGCTTTCCTGTTGCAGGGACAGAATGACTCTGCTTTGCAAGAGCTAAACGTTCAGATACCTGTAGTGGATAGACAAGACCTGGCCTTTGCAACTCTTGCAATATTTGAGTAGCTCTTTGAAACATATTTAATTATTTTGTATTGAAAGCAAATAAAACCGAATTCCCTTTTGAGACTGGTATCTGAGTGTCCTTGCAGCCACTCTGAGCACAGGGTGAACCCTTAGCAAACAGGAAATAGCTTTGTATGTACTGTTCCTTTGTAGTCATTTGACTTGTAGCAGAATATACCCAAAACAAAAAACTCTGTAGTTCTTGAGCTGTTCGAGGAAGAAGAGCCACCTGCAGAGCACAGGTCTTCTGGCTTTATTCTCTGGGATCAGTATGGTTCTTTTGCTTTTCCCTTTAATGTTACCCGTCAAAGCATTGTAATGCACTGCTTGTTGTGAGTGGCTGGATGTTTGTAGCATTTGCGTTCATATCTGTTGAATAGAGGTAAGTCCAGGACTCGAATAACGGAGAAGAGGTGAAAAGGTGCTTTTCTTCAGCTCTGTTGGTGTTGTTGCTAAGTGCACCGTGCTGGGAAGTCGTGCAGTAAAACAGATACTCTGTCAATTTTTCCTGTAAACACATGGTCTATCATATCTACTATGGTTCTTTTGTTTTCTTTCATGTATATATATATATACACAGAGTGTGTATTTTCTGAGATTAGAAGTGTCTCATCAAATGCCTCTTAAAATATTGTGTATCTTCAAGAGAGTGCCATTTAATGTTCAGAGGAAAAGGATTAATAAGCCGGAATCTGGGTTTTTGTTCTAGGTTTGGCACTGATTTATTGCATGACTACCCAGAAAGTTGCCTCACCTGCTGATTTTTTTGGTCTTGTTTCACCAAATAGAACATAGGAATGAAAATGACAAGCTGGAAGCAGGAGGGTGTTAGAGCTGAATATGCTTTAGATTTAAGAACCAGTAGCTTTGGAGGAATGCAGAATATTGAGTTTGTTCAGTCATAACTGTACTGCAGAATCTGCTGCTTTAAGAACCAACCCTGTTTAATACTACACGTTTGAGGCCATCTTGCATTTGTGCTCCTTGGGGGTACAGCAGAAAGAATACATCCAAGACAGGTGACAGATCCTCAAGTGTGGGAAACCATGGCCACTTCCTCTCTCCATAGGCATGCTATTTGCTCGCTCCCACACATCTGCTCTGTTTCACAAGCATGAACAGGGCTTGGAGCAAGCATATGATTAGTATCCCTACAAAGCATGAGGAGGGTTTGTGTAAATGACCTGTTCCATTGAGAGGCTGCCATCCCCTGGAGCAGAGAGTGGAGTTTTGCTGTATTAACTTCCACCTGGTTCCTGGCTCCGCCTAATCATGTTTGTCTGGTTTCTGTTATCCCTTAGATCCTGTGGGAGATCACAAGGTTCTTCCTTTTGGCGATTGAACTGAGTGTGGTGATTCTAGGCCTTGCCTTTGGTATGTATCAGGAGGTTTTTGGGTGCTTTGTTTCCTATTCCCCTTCTTTCCACAGAGGCTGCAACTGTAAGTTTGTGGAGATGCTGATTCTGTAAAGTGAAGGAGCTCTAGAATAAAGACAAAGGACAAATTGGGGAGTTTTAGTTAGAAACGGCCGAAAACCTCATTGTATTTATAGATCTATGGCTTGTGCAATTTCAGGGTTTGTATGTGCTTTGTTTGTCGTGCATGCATGTGGTGAAGGAGTGTACAGCTTAGGTAAAGAAGACCGATGGAAAGATCAACAGTCCGATCTTTGCTCCCACCCTATTTTATGTAAGATGGTTCTTTTGGGGGTCCTTCTATCCCCTCCTTGGTTGGTTTGATTCCATCCTGGCTTCATTTAAATGTTTTAACTGTACCTGCAACCTGTAACTCTACTTTTTTCAGTTGTACAAGTGAAAATGCTGTTGGGAGCACCTCTTCCTGTGGGTCAGAGGTAGAGGAGTGGAGTTCGTAGGTGTCACTGTTCCATCTGCCAGTGGGACATCTGAGCACTAGCTCTTTCATCTTTTGAGGACTCATAGAATAATTTAGGTTGGAAGGAGCTTCTGGAAATTGTCTGCTCCAGCATATTCCAGTGCAGATTTCTCTAAATAATCTAAGCCCTTCTCCCGTGCTCTAACTCAGTCTCCCATCAACTTTTTTTCTGAGAAGAAACTTTGTAATGTCTCAGTGTACATGATACTGGAGTCATTACTGACAGGGTTTTTTTTTGTAAGCCCAGTAGTAGAACTTTGTTGCTTTCTCTATATTAGTGTGGGGAGGAGGAAAGCAAGTTAAAACTTGTCATTTTGTAAGTATTATTTTGTCTGTGAAAGGCTCAACTCTCCAAACAGACAAGCAGTTTCTAGCGGTTAAGCGAGCTTTAACCTTCCCTTGAAGGCCTCTGGGAACACAAATGTTTTCCTGTATTGGTTTTGGAGAGAACTGATTTTACCAGGGCTGGGATCACATCCTGAGTCACTTCTGTATTCCTTAATTCTAGGTCACCTGGAGAGCAAGTCAAGCGTGAAACGTGTTCTGGCAATCACTACGGTGCTGTCTCTGGCATATTCTGTCACGCAGGTGAGTACACTGGGGCAGAAGAATTAGTGTTAGCAAAAGAGGGGATGTTTTTTAGAGTTAGGCAGTTAGGTGTGGGACTTCTATCTGTAAAGTGGCAGCTTTGCTCCTTGGATGAGGTTTTAGGGGCAGGCTGGATGGTTGTGGCAATGTATGAGGATCCCCAGAGCAGACACCAGACTATCTCATTGTCCTCTTTATGGCATGAATGGCTCAGCCAAAATGAAGAAATGAAATGAGATTTAGATGGATTGCCTTGTTTAGTGAATCTTGGAACAGGAGTGAGAGGTTTTTCACACCTGAGCCACAAGTTCTGAATCTAGCCTCAAGTGCCATGAAAACTGGATGGAGGGACCTGAGGTGTGCTTGTCAGATAAGGACAGTGCAGTGGGCCTCTTGTCTCCTGACTCTGAGAGCTGAGAGCTCTTGCTTCCCTTCAGTCTAGCAGCTGCCTTGCCTAGCTTGGTTTATTAGCTGTGTCTCCATCTCTCTGAACAATGCAGTATGTGTCTGGATTTATTCTTCTCCTCGAAATGTAAGTGGTCAGCCCTGTGTCTCTATGCTTGGGGGCAGCAGCAGAGTAACACAGATATCTTTGTTCCATGACCAGGCTTTTGTGGAGGCAGTGAGCTGATCATTACCACATGATAAAGCTGGAGGAGCCTCATTACATATCAAGTGTTTGAGCTATATGTGGGTTCAGTAGTGCTTACAAACACTCTTTTCTCTCTCCACTGTCTGTGTGGTAGCTTCTGTTCATACAGTTTTTCAGGAATTCAAGTGAATGAGACAGTATCCTTTCCCAACTGTTGCACAAGTGTGGGCTTTTGTATTCTGGATATTTCAGCAGGAAAGGTCTGCTTTAGAGATGGAAATGGAACCTTGGTCTGTTTCAAACAGGCAACTGCTTGCATCCCCTATCCCTTCCTTCATTCAGCCTCTCTTGTGGAATGTCACTGATGCCATTTCCTTCAGATACAGATTCCTGCCACTGTTTTTCCCCCTCACTTCTTGTCTTCAGTTTCTTCCTCTTTTCCTGTGTGAGCTTAACTTGGTCTAAGCGGGGCAATGGTTGGGTCTTAAGTGGGAGAGACAACTGTTGTCTGAACTTCTTTAAACACAGTCTCCCTTGTTCAGACACCCACTCTAGTGAGGATGCTGCCTATAACAGAATCATGTTGGTGCTACTTCTCTCCTAGGGCACCCTGGAAATCCTATACCCTGATGCCCACCTCTCAGCAGAAGACTTCAACATCTATGGCCATGGAGGGAGACACTTCTGGCTTGCCAGCTCCTGTTTCTTCTTTCTGGTAAGTACTGGGCATGTGTTATGCACTCTGGTAGCTTCTTTTTATTTTCTAAATGGGGCAAGGAGGATGGTTTGCGTATAATAAGGCTCTGGTCCTCCTCCTGCCTGATACAGTGCAGCATTGATGCTACTCATGTGGCAGGGAAGCTGAAGCAAAAAAGGCATGATGGGAGTGGTGTAAGCTGTGGCAGCTGAATACCAGCTGAACTCGAGTGTTCTTCACTCCCTTATTTCTCAGCGACCAGCCTTTCTGGGCTGATGGGTGGGGTGGCGTGAGGTGTGGGGCCTTCACATCTGCACTGAGTTTAATATCAGGGGGTCTGTGTCTCCGTCACGAGACATCTAGGGAGTGCATGACACCACACACCATCCCTGCAAAGGTTGTTGAGTTCAGTTGCCAAGCAGCTCTGGAACAGTTAGTTCTTTGTCTCAACAGGTCTATTCCTTGGTGGTGATTCTTCCAAAAACTCCTCTGAAAGACCGGATTTCTTTGCCATGTAAGTGACTGTAGTGTGTTCCATAGTATAGATGGAAACAGTGCAAGGATAAAACATAGGTGGGAGTAAGAGGTTCTTGTATGTGGTTGCGCTGCAGATACAACCTACCGTCTCAGGGTGCAGATAGATGGCAAAGGACTGATAAGTCATCCCTGAAAAAATAATATGTTGTGCATTTTGGAGAGCAGAGTAAGAGCAATTACATTGCTACTTCTTTAGCTAAACAATTACATTAAGAAAACAAGATCTACTGCTCAGTTAATGATACAGATGTAATGTAAATATATAATTTTCAGAGAGCCGTAAGAAATAGCTTCTTAATAATAGCTTCCTCTGAAATGCATGTATGATGTTAAAGTGTACATGCTGGTCATTGCCTGGGAAAGAAGGCTAATTGGGAGCCGCTTCATAATTTTTATCTGGGCATTTACTTTATTAAGATGCTTCTCTGGTTTTTCTTTTTGTTGTGGAATATCTGCAGTTCTTGAATAGGGAGAGAAGCTGTTACTAAGATGTTTGCATTGGGCTGTTCTCTCTCTAAGTAGTGTTGGCATCTACGTGTTAGGTACCCTGAGGGAGTGGATAAGTGTGGCACATGCCACAAGCAGGTGATCCTGGGCCTGGTCTACCTTGCGTCCAGCATACCCTGCTGTTCCCATCCAGGCCTCCTGAGCAGTTTTGTTAGTACTGCACATTGGAAGGACATAGCTTCTGGTTCAGCTGTGGTTTTTTTGTTTGGCTTTTCTTACATTCAGTTATGTGACTGACAGTGGTTCCAGATGCTTGCCTATAAAATCTTTGCAAGTGTTGCCATGACCATGTGTTTTGAGAACCCGTCTTGTGTGTGTATGCACATGCAGGAGGGTATGGTTTAGTCCACTATGCCTCCATCAATCCTGCCAGCATAGGACAGGAAAAAGCGGTTTTAATTCTTCAGGAGTCCTTAAACAGACAAGATAGCGAGACACTTCCATTGAGTTTGCCATCTCCGTCAAACAGATTTGCACTGGGCTGGTGCTTATGAGATTAAGCTTCATCTGTGTCCCTGTCTTTCCCACAGCCAGGAAGAGTTTTTATGTTTATGCTGGAATCTTGGCACTGCTGAATCTGGTGCAGGGCCTGGGCAGTGCCCTCCTCTGTGTGGATATCATAGAAGGACTGTGGTATGTATGCTGGTGGAGGAGGTCTGCAGCCCAGTTTGTCATGTTGCCTTTGAGTGTCCTTCAACACTGCCTCTCCCAGGAAAACAAACTTATGCTATGTTCCTAAGAAGGAATAAAGCTGTTGATTTTCTTTTGTGCCAAAAGACCGCTAAGTGGTTAGGAAACTCATAGTGGAGAGGTCTGTAGAGCTGCATGCTCTGCAGTGGTCTTGAGGTGGTGAATGAGTGTGATAGTTTGAATCCACTGATGCCTGGCCATTGGCTCGTGTTTCATAGGTAATAAGGGAGGAAATAGTCTGTTTGCTAGAAATAGCATGGAGATGCCCTTATTCATACCTGAAGTCTGGTTCTGCAGGGATCAGTGTCACTTCTGTGAGTCAAAATTGGGAGCACTGACTGTGCTCTTGGTCAGACCTTGGGTCTTGGTATGGTTCCCTCTGAGTGTCTAGAAGCAGTGACACATGTTGATAGCAACATCTGTTACTTTGCATCAGTTTGAATTTGTTTAGCACGAGACTTTTCTTGTCCTCTGCTTGGACGCTCTGGAGGGAAACTGGACCATTCTGGGGGGATGTGACTGGTGTTATTCAGCTGTACTGTGCTTGAGTGCTAAATTCCTTCGTGTTCCCTTTTGCCGTTGACAGCTGTGTTGATGCTACCACGTTCCTTTACTTCAGCTTCTTTGCACCTCTCATCTATGTAGGCTTCTTTGGGTGAGTAGCCAGGAACAGGAGTTTAGAGGGTATACATTGTCATCTGATTGTTTTGCACTCAAGTTCTCCCTGTCTATAGAATAAAAGCAATGACTAGAATGCCAGTTAGGGAACCAGTTTTTAATTTCTGGCCTTGAAGTTTTTCTCGTGTGACCCAGGGCTGCTCACTTCTATCCAAGGCTCCTTTGTATGCAAAGTAGAGCTGATAGCTATATTCCTCTCAAACATTTATGAGGATCACTTCTTCAGTGTCTGCATCCTGTTTAGTACAAAGATTTTCTCCTGAAGTTGTTAATTAAATGGTTAGTGAGAGATTGAGTCCTGGAAGGTTAAACGGTTTTCTCAGTGGCTTTTGGGATAGGTTTGTAGGGTTAGGTAACTCTTTGGCTGAGGACTCCTCTACAATGGGCCTGAGAGTCACCCGTTAAAAGCATCGAGGAGTGTGATTCCTGGGTCGGGGTTGCCGCCGTGTGGCCACTCTGAGGAGATGCATTTTGGTGGGAAAACCCGAGTGTTTTAGTGTAGACTTTAGCTTTTCTTGTCCATAAACAAGGAACAACAGGCTTTAAAATAACTAAGAATGTAAAGTACTCCTAAAATATAAAAATGTGCTTCTGCTGCATTTTGAAATCAGAAGGGAACGGTGTCTGGAGTTAGAGATAGAAACTGCTGATCCACAAGTGTTTGTATTTCAGTTTTCCTGGTGCGCACAGATGGAGCTTGAGGTGGACTCCTGTTCTCTTGGTGTCAGTAACCAGACTTTGTGGAGTCCGGTGGTGTTTGGATGCTGTTGCCCTTGGTAATTCAGAACTCCCAAAGATGAGAACACCTTTCCCACACTAGAGTCAGGATTCTGCCATTTTTATTGCTCTTAGGTGACTTAGTCCAAAGCTACATCAAGCATTACTTTATGGCAGTTACTCTACTAGGTGTATTTGAGGACTGAAAGCTAGTGTGAAGAGTTTTTAGGGTAGGAATACACAATTTCTTAGTGCTGCTGAGTTTCAGTTAAGGATAAGTGGCTGTGATGCTACATTGATTAAGCGTGTATTTTAAATCTTTAATCACTCCAGGTCTGAACCGAAGATCCTTTTCTCCTACAAATGTCAGGTGGATGAACCTGAGGATGTGGATGTGCACCTACCCCACCCTTATGCTGTTGCCAAGAAGGAAGGAATGGATTCTGGGTTCTACTCGAGCACTCAGATTGACACCACAGCCTACCTGGATGACGTGGCCTCTATGCCATATCACGTGGGCAGCATCAACAGCATAGACAGTGACCGCTGGAAAGCCATCAATACCTAAGACAGGGCTACCCGCTTCACACGATGCCTCATTCCTTTCCTTCTAAATTCCCTGATATCACAGCTGTTAGGATGTCATTGGAAATCTGTCCTTGGTTTTCCAAACCCTATTGTGGAACTAAGTCCAAATTCTGTTGGAAAGAACATTTTCTGTCACTACCTGAGAACAATGTAGAACAGTTTTGTTCATAAACCTATAAACACTGAACCTTCCTGATCCTCCATGTTCCAGATGTGAATATGACCCATAAGACAGGCCTGACTGGGACCTCTTCCTTTTCAGTGACTGAAAGCACTTATCTGCCAATTAGCGGAATGGCATTTAGGGATGAGGGTGTTGATTTGACTGCTGTATTGTACATATGTGGAAAGAGTTTGGTGGTTGAAACCAAAGATGGTCTTTCTGGGCTTTTTCAAGCAGCATGGTTGCCTGGGTCTTGTCGTAATGCAGCAGCGTAGGTGGTGATAGCGATGTCAGAAGAGGGAAGCTGGTCAGCTAGGCTTATCTCTGGTTTCAGCTAATACTGATGAAAATCATGTGTTGCAGTTGCTAGGGGTTAAAAGGAGTGTTCTGAGTGTGTGGGAAGGAGAAGAGAGGTGTGAGGAGGAATGAATGGTTCTTTGTGCCCTGGAAGCATTTTGGGGGGCTAGTAGCTAGCAACATGGATGTGAACTGACTGAACAAAAGGGAGACAGGACAGACAGTGCTCACCGAAGTAGCTATGAGACAGTCTATGGAGGCTGTACTACTGTGGATCTGAGCTTACAGGAAAATCTAAGTAACAAGACTGAATCAGGGCTGAGTTTCAAGAATAAAACCTGTGAGGCAGGTGCATTTTCTATCTGCACCCTGCTTCATGGCTCTGGCAGGGTCTTGGAGAGTGCTGTGAAGGAGGGAGCTGAATCTGCAGATGAAGGCTCCAGAGATGTTCAGGTGCTTGAGGCAGAGCAGAAGCCCATGATGAGTCTGAGCTGTCAGTGTTTAGTGACTAGGAACTCTCAAACACTATAGGCATGCTAGAATCAAGTTGGCTGGTGTTTTAAGTTGGGAGGCAAGTGGGAGATGGATGTGTTTCTCTGGCAGTGTCCTCCTCTTATGTTGCATTTCAGATCCCCAGACTTCTGAGGATCTGAATAGGTTTTATGGCTTGAGATCGTGAAAAAGCTTCTGTGCATGTGAAGCGTGGTTCACTTAAAGACTATCTGGAACTTCTTATTAACCTCTTCCATACTGGAAGAGGGACTACTGTTGTCTGAGCTGTCTGGCACACAGTTTCAAGACATCATGTTCCAATCCAGGGACTGTTCAGCTGAAAGCTGTATCAGGCTGGTTTCTGGGACATGCTGTGTTCTCCAAGGATGAAGAGGTGTATTCCTCTCGCTTTGGGGATGCTTTCCTACCTGAGTCCTCCAGGTAGGTGGAGATCTGCTATAAGCAATAGCAACTTTCCATTAGAGATGGTAGAAAGAGAGAATTTGAAATGTTTGGGGACTGTGTGAATCTCTTGCCCCAGCTCACTGCGGTTCCTGAAGAATGTAGAGGCAAGAGTTTCTGGGAAATCATCATGCACGGTGCAGTGTGGACTTGTTAGTTTGAATCGTGAGCAGGTAGGGGAAAGCATTTGCTACAAGGTGTTCTCACCATAAGGAAAGAAAGTTTGGGCAAGAACATGAAGTTCATATTGGTTGCCAAAACTATGCAGGCCCTTTACTTATCTTTTTTTGTTAATGAGCAATGCAGCCTCTCTGTTCTGCCTGTGGACTTTGCCCTGCAGGCCTCATAAGTAGCACTGACACCTTGAAAACAAACCCCCCTCCCCCCCCTTTTTTTTTTTCTAAAATGAATACTGTTTAAAAAAAATCGTTGGTGTGTGAGAGCTGAATTGTCTCCTGTAGGTCAACAGCCTTTCACATTTCCCCTCCATGCAATGACTATGTAAGGACTGGACAAACAACTGGCCAAGTCAGCCCTTGCCACATTAGAGAAGTGTTCATGCTCTTCCCATCAGTTGCCTGAGCCACGCTTGCTTCCTTACTCTAAAAGGGATGGATGACGTGGTGCCTGAATTGCCCTGCTGCTGCTCCTGATGCTGCTTACAACACTGATCCCAAGCTGTGGTTAGAAAGGATGGGGCAACCTGCAAAGCTTCCCTGGAGTTAGTGGGCCTTGGACAGAGCCAAGAGATATGAAGGTCTTAAAGCAGTTGAGAAGTAAAGGAGCAGCTGCTTTTCTGTCCCAGGGAGTATTTGCTGACTCTCAACACCCTGACTGAGAGGACTTACCTGCCCTCCTTGGTGATGTGAAGAGCAGGTTATGAATCTGCCTCTTTATCAGCTGAATTCAGTGCTGAAGGATCACCTGTGTGGGTGGTCGACATGTCCATCCTGTCCTTTGCTGGCAGGACTCCAATATTTCTGGAGTGTCCCACTTTCTGCTGCTGAGGAGCTTCTGTGCTAGGTCATGGACTGACCTTCCTCCTGTTGTATTTTTGTGTGTGTATATAATGCTTTGGGCCATATTCAAAATGGTCCTTAAGCAGAAGTGTGATATGAGGGGGCGTAAAAAGAGAGAAAATATAGAATAAATGTATATTTTTGTTTGTAAAATAAATAAAGTTAAGTTTGGCATAAATGGTCATACTTTCTTTCTCAAATGATCCATATTATGGAGACAAAGTAACTTTCAGATTTTTTTTTTTAAAATCACTGAACAAATATGGCAGATAATAATGGAATAACTTGATGTCCTTTTGTCAGAGATGGATTTTTCCTTCTTGGAAGGCCATTACTAGGACAGCAGATGACTCTGCAGAGAGTGGTCTCCAGGTCTTAGTAATTGTCAGTGAAGCCTTTGACTCTTCTCTCGGTAACTAGATCTTGCTGTTCCTGGGCATGTCTAGCATCAGGGGCCTTTGCTCTAGGGTATCTTTGTTGCTTGGGAAAGGGCTTATGTGGAAGTTGGAATTGACTCTTGCTTATTTCTTGTTCTGGGGTTTGAAGTGAACCCTGGACTAATTTTCTGGCTGCAGGGAGGACATCATAGGTGCTGAGTAACAGCAAAGTGTGCTAGCAGTAATCAGCACCCATCAGGTTCTCTTTGGTGGGGGCGTACAGGCTGGGGAAGTGAGGGGAGCTTTGTCTCTACCTTGGGATTGGGTCATGCCCTTGTGCAATAAAACCTTTCAGAGCTTCTTCCAGGGTCCCTACATAAAACTGGGGGGGATTGCCCTAGGAGATGCTACCACTGGAGTTAAATTTGATGGCATCCTCTGCTCCTGTGTAGGTGGAGAGGTGTTTAAGTTGCTGTACAGCTCCTCCACCATTATCATGGCTGCTTCCACATCAGTGTCCCACAGGTAGTGGGCCCTGTTGGGCGTCCTTAGGCTCTTGGAGATCACAGGAAGGCATAGCTGTGGGTGTGATGTGCAGTTTTGTTTGCCCACTCTCCCTCCAGGATCTTTGCAGATGATGCTTGTCGCCTGGCTGGAGTTACACCTGAAAAAGGCGAAGGAAGAATGACAGCAATAATCAAAGTTACAGGAAGGCTTCTGGAGGAGGAAGTACACGGTTGAGAACTCACCAGCCTGGAAGAGCAATGGTGCAGGTCTGTGAAACCCAGAGAGGATAGAGGAGACGAATAAGGAATGATTGTTCATGGGCTTTTTCAGTACAAAAACTGAGTGCCGTCAAGTGAAGTGAGCGGGTAGCAGATGAGAAAGAAACAAAAGGCTGGTGAGAGCATTCAGGGAGGGATCATGATTTGACCTCTAGCCGGAGCTTTGCTCTTGCACAGGATGTCTGCAGTGTTTCTGTACTGCACTGCAAACAGCTGATGGTACCATGATGCAGTGCCCTTGTCTTGAAAACTGAAGCAGTGGGCCAAGTCCTCAGACTACAAGGTATTACACAACAAAAGTATTCCCTGCTTCCAAGAACATGCTATAGAAGAGGCCTGGGTATCTTGGAGGGCATAGAGTCCTAAGTACTCCCTTAAAGCAGGCCAGAGTCCCACTGCTGAATCAAAGCTGTGGTTCCCTCATTGACTGCAGTGAAGAATAAGCATTAAACAGTTAAAACTGCTTTGATGTGCTACTGAGAAGTAGTTGTGTGTCGATATCAAGGCTTCGTTAACCATGTAGTCACAAATGCATGAAATTGTATAGGTCGTCATGTAGCCTGTATTTCTAGGAATAGGCCGAAAGTTTGTTTGGAAAAGATCCTTTAAAGCTGCCATTTCTCAGTCCAGCTGCTTGTGTGTTACATTATCTTCTTTCTCATTCCTTTGGTTTAGGCAGGGGATTGGCCATGCCTGGCAATGGGGACCCTATCTGCGATGGCCTGACCTGCACAGGGCCCACACATGCGCCTGCCATGGCAGGTAACGGCACAGTCAATAGGTTTTGCTGGAACACGGTGGCAGAAAGGAGCAGAGAGGTGAATTCTGCCCACAGAGCAGCTGCTGTAAAATTGACTAAGGGTTGTAGACTGTAGTTGTGTTTTTAGTCACCAGGGAAACGTGAGCTTACATGTTGGGGTGGTGAGCTCCCTCGACGACTATGGAGAGAAATGGTGTGCGCAAAAGTGGACAAGGGATTTCTGGTGGGGTGAGGGGGATGCCCTCGCTCAGCTGCATTGGGGATGCTTTGTCTTGATGCTGAGGGGGAATTGCCTTGGACACCCACAGGGGCTTGTCAGCCTGTGAATCCTCCCTGATGGACAACGTCTGGGTGGTTCCTCAACCTAGGAGCTAGGTGACAAGCTTTGTGCCTTACTGCCTTATTTTCTGCGTGGTTACATGTGGTTTTGTTTTCTTCCTTCCATAATTTTGACCAAGTAAAGAAACTCCGTGAGTTGGGTGTATCCCAGTGGAAGTTTGCGAGGTGGTTTGATCCTGCATTGAAAACCAAGATGTGGAGGGTGGCTACAGCCCTTGGTGCAGGAAGGGAGGAGGAGGCCTAGCAAGCCCGGAGACGCTT